GACTCATTGAAGGCTCAGACGGTGGTTAGCATTTTTTAGCAATAAATTAAGGCATGTCCATTGTTGTCTTAGACATAATGCTATTGTATACTTAATAGACTACAATATAGAGTAAGCAGAACTTTTCCACACACTGAGAAACCAAAACCCTCATGAGACTCATTTTATTGTGATTGTCTGGAACTGAATCCACTATATCTCCAAGGCATATGTCTCCTGCTGTGTAACAAATTTCCCGAAAACTTAGTGAAAAAAGAAGAATGAGAGGAGCCCGAGGGAGAAAATCACATGCTTGGTCTGGCGACAGGAATATTACTTAAGATGAAGATAAAAAATAAGGTCAACTACTTTGGATATTTAAAACTGGGAAAGGATTAGTGGTGGCCCTCAGACATGAGTACTTTTCGTTTTTTTTTGACTTTTAATTTTATGTTGGATTGTAGCCTATTAACGATGTTGTGAATTTCAGGTGAACAGCGAAGGGACTCAGCCATAACATATCCATAAACATATCCATTCTCACCCAAACTCCCCTCCCATCCAGGCTGCCATATCACATTGAGCAGAGTTCCCTGTGCTATACACTAGGTCCTTGTTGATTATGTATCTTTAATATAGCAGTGCCTACATGGCTACTTTTAAACTCCCCAGGTGATTGCATTGTGCACCAGGGATTGGGAAGCACTGTTGTGGTATATCACTTGCCACGCTGAATCTACTTGGGTTGCAGTAAACGTGGTTAGTGGTGCTGGTAGCAGGCATTGTTAACATTTATTGAGCCCCAGTTATGAATCAGTTTCCAAGTGAGGAATTTCACATCTAATTTATCTTATCCTCACAGCAGCTCCAGGGAGCAGACAGTGAGTCATTTTTATCGCTATTTCACAGAGGAGGAAATAGAGAAAGATTGGGTAAATCAGACTGTCATAAACAAGGTTTGTCTCTTATGCCGTATTGTTACCGAAAGTGGTAAAGTAGTGAGTCTGGATGCTTGGCAAAGGGGCCAGGTTGGTGGAAAGGAAAGTTTGCTTTATTTTGGATGCCGTCTACCAGCAGGGAGGGCGGATGCCTGTCCAAAGCCTGGCTCAACTCCACTGACAATGGGTAGGCAAGAACTTTAATAGACGGAGGGACCTCCACACAGAAACAGCATAGTCAGCTCTGACAGTCATCTTGAAATTGGTCATTGGTGATCTGATCAGCATCGTCTTAATTGTTTTAAATACAGTTAATGATCAGTTCCAGGGTTGGTTTGTTTCCTTTTCTTTGAGGCCAATTCTCGGAACTGTGGCAGCTCATGTCGTGGCTACAGTCTATTCATCATGTAGTTAATTGGCAGGGGTTTCCCTGTCTATAAGACAGCTCACAGGTTATGGCTCAGAATATTATCGATGGCCCTTGGGAAGGAAGTAAAGGTCCTTGACTATGCTTAACGACTACATTATTTTTATGTGGTCTCTTTCAACTGTTTGCCTTTGTTTCTGCATGTTCTCATTTCTCTGATTAAACTTATTCATTGGCTAAACTTTTTTCATAGTCAAAAGGTAGGCTGAGGACATGGGGTGGGGGGGCAAGGACCATAGAGTCCTGCTGCATTTCAATATCAAACTGTATTAGCAAAGGCCGCAGTGAGAAAAGGATCCTAATGACAAAGCAGATAGAAGATAAAACAGTTGGCTTGGTAAATTTAAACCTGAGCTTGAAGGGGGTTGAGGGCTTCTCAGGTGATGCAGTTAGTAAAGAATCCATCTGCCAATGCAAGAGACACAAGAGACGCGGGTTCAGTCCCTTGGTCGGGTAAATCACCTGGAGCAGGACATGGCAACCCACTCCAGTATTCTCTCCTGGGAAATCTCAAGGACAGAGGAGCCTGGCGGGCTACAGTCTATCGGGTCGCTCAAGTCGGATATGACTGACGGACTGAGCATGCACTCGTGGGATTGAAAACATGAAACATTACTGCTGATGTTTCTAAACTGTGTGGAGTCTGTATTTGGCTACGGAAGGAAATGGCATGTGCTGGGCTGCAGAGAGCAGGGTGTGCAGAAGGGGTTCAACCAAGGCCAGCAAGGGTTGGTGCGGGTAGGGGATGGGCAAGGTTTGGCTCCCTTTCCCCTTCTTCACCCCCTGGTGGCAGTGCAGAGGGAGCCAGACAAACAAAGGGAACATGGTGGGAACAACCCCTGCTGGGCATTGAACAGCTTTGTATGACAGAGGCAGAGAGGCTGGAAAAGTAAGGCTGGTAAAGAAGGCTCAGGACATCCAGACTTCAGAGACTGGGGAGGCCAGGCCAGTGAGGGCAGGGATGAGCCCATGGGATACCTCGACCGCTTCTTCAGGGGCAAACAGGCCATTTCAAGGTGGGGAGAAACTGGGGGTCTGGTTTCTTAAGATTGTCTATTGTCAGCAGTTACTAAAAAAGATTTTAATTTAAAAATGGTTTTATACTGATTTAAATATTTATACTGATTTAAATATTTTTACATATTTCAAAGCAAATGACAAACTTATGGTTAACGAAGAGGAAAGTGAGGAAGGGATAAATTAGGAGTTTGGGATTAGCAGATATCAACTACTATACACAAAACAGGTAAACAACAGGTCTTACTGTACAGCACAGGGAACTACACTGCATATCCTATAATAAACCATAATGTACATAAATATACATGTTGTTTGTTGTTTTAGTTGCTAAATCACGTCTGACTCTTTGCAACCCCATGGACTGTAGCCCGCCAGGCTCCTCTGTCCCTGAGATTTCCCAGGCAAGAATACTGGAGTGGGTTGCCATTTCCTTCTCCAGATGATCTTCCTAACCCAGGGATGAACCTGAATCTCCTTTATTGGCAGGCAGATTCTTTACCACTGAGCCACCAGAGAAGCCACATATGTATGTGTGTGTGTGTCTTAGTCACTCAGTCGTGTCTGACTCTTTGCGACCCCACGGACTGTAGCCCGCCATGCTCCTCCGTCCACGGGATTTTTCCAGGCAAGAATACTGGAGCGGATTGCCATTTCCTTCTCCAGGTGATCTTCCCGACCCAGGTATTGAACCTGGTTCTCCCCCATTGCAGGCAGACTCTTTACTGTCTGAGCTACCATATATATATATGGTGACTCTCCAGGGCTTGGGGCACAGTTGGTTCCCAAGCTATATATATGGACTTCCCTATAGTTCAAATGGTAAAGAATGTGCCTGCAATGCAGGAGACCAGGGTTTGATCCCTGGTTCAGGAAGATCCTCTGGAGAAGAGAATGGCAAGCCACTCCAGTATTCTTGCCTAGAGAATCCCATGGACAGAGGAGCCAGTTGGGCTACAGTCTGTGGGACTGCAAAGAGACAGACATGACTGCGTGACTAACACACACATATATATGTATATACGGAATCACTTTGCTGTACACCAGAAACTAACACAGCATTGTAAATCAACTACACTTCAATTAAAAAAAAATAAAACAAATATGTTCGTGGCCACACATCCATGCACACATGTTCATCCTAAATACACAGTGAACTTTTTTCCTGCAAAGGCAAAATACCTACAGATGGGCCTCTGCACTTTATTCACTCCGAGAATAACATGGGAGGATTCCTTCCTTGAAAGAGCTGCGTGTTTGCCTTGAAATACAAGCAGTTGATCACGCTAGACCCACACTAGCTTTCCCTTTTCTGAGCATATGGCCTCATTCAAGCTTCACTTTCAGACAATCTTGTGGCTGTGTCTCTCCTCATGGGGCTTTAAGACCATGTCCTTTGGGGGCATGTCTTCACTCTGCTAATTCACGAGGCAGTTGGAGCCACACTGGGAAACATGGGAAAGACTTCAGAAACCACTCATGCCCAAAGCATGGTTGGAGTCAGGAACCAAGACAAACATTGAATGATGACCATGGTACCTGGTACCAGATGAAATAAATGAAAGCAAACCAACCACAGAATCAGACTCCCATCCCTGAACGGTGCCTCAGAGGCCATGGAATAGTGGTCTGCTTCCAGAATCAGAAACCCTTCACCCCATAAGAACTGCCCATGTCAGGGGCTGTAATATGCCCTTCCCCATGTGGGATCATTATCAGGAGTCTGAGCCTGGGCCCAGAGCACCTCCTACCTTTGTGATACTGGGCTTGGGAACCAATTGTGCCCCAAGCCCTGGAGAGCTCCACTTGGCCAGATCTTGTGGCCTCTTATTGCCCAAGCTGTTCCCAAGCACCATAGGCCCCTTGGGGAAATTAATGGAGGTTAGAGAGAAACCCAGCTCTGCAGTCAAGCTGGGGATATTCTAGGAGCCAAAGATGAGGAAACAGGGGAGGGTATGAATTAGAGACAGAAGATTGAGAACTTCCTTGGTGGTCCTGTGGTTAAGACACTGCCTGCCGAGGCAGGGGACGTGGGTTTGATCCCTAGTCCAGGCAGATCCCACATGCCATGGAACGACTAAGCCCAAGTGCCAACCACTGAGTCCACGCTCTAGAGCCCCCAAGCCACAACAACTGAAGCCTTTGAGCCACAGATACTGTGCTCTGCGGCAAAAGAAGCCACTGCACTGAGAAGCTGCTGCAACGCAAGTGGAGGGCAGCCCTCGATCACTGCAACTAGAGAAAGCCCAAGGAAGCAACGATGACCTGGCACAGTAAAAAATCAATTAAGAAAAGAGAGACTTATTGGGAGTTATTGGGGTTCTGGTGACTGGGGCAGGACTTGGCCAGATCTAAACTCTGTGGAACCATTATCTACTGAATGGAGAACCCTGTCCCAATCTGAAAGTTTTAACAGTTAGTACTGAAGGTACCTCTGAACCAGCCATCCAGAGGTTCTCGCCTGTGTACATTTTCATAGTATCCATTTAGAAGAGAGCCCAGAGGGCTGGCATACATGTCCATCTCTCAAGATGACCACTAGTGAAAAGCCTTTCCTAAGTGTCTGCCTTTGCCTATGCTGACCTGGGCTGTGCTGTGCTGAGAACACCTACCTGTCCACTGACTTCATCTATCCCAGAATGAGATATTCCCTCCTTCCCTCAGTCCATGGTCTACCCATTGGGGAGCAGATGGCTAATCAAGCAGCAGGTAGGTTGAACCATAGGAAACTTCCATTTTGTATAAAAAAACCATTGAAAATTATTGCTCTTTTGACCATCTTCAGACCTATAAAATGGCTCTTCCATTTGTTCTAATATTTTCTAGTATTGTGTCCAAGGAATGTGCTTGGCACTATAGGGGTACCAGAAGTATCAAAACACCTTTTTCTGTGGAGGGGTTTATGTTGCACCAGGAGTCAGCAACTGTGACCCAGGGACCAGATCCAGTCCATCACAAGCTTTTGTATGGATCTATTGGAACATAGCCACAACCATTTGTTTATTTATTGTCTGAGATGACTTTCCTGCTACCAGAGTTGAGTAATTAAACAAAGACTGTACCATCCACAGAGCTGATGCATTTACTGTCTGGCCCTTTACAGTAAAGTGTGCTGACTCCCAGGTCACATAATAGAGAGAGACTGTGATCACGCATTCAAATCACCATTTTTCTTATTGCTGTCCAACACCTCTCCCCGTTCTGTCTTACCTTTCCTATTATTTTTTCTTCTCTTTGAATGGCCCAAATCTCTTCTTTCTTCAGACTCCTTCACTATTTTTGCTTGTTCCTGATCTGTTATTTCACATCTTCATTATTCCCTATTTTCTTCTTTTTAAAAATAACTTTATTGATTTATTTTTGGTTGTAACTTGGTCTTGGTGGCTGCATGGGCTTTTCTCTAGTTGTGGTGAGCGGGGCTACTCTCTGGTTGGTGGTGTGCAGGCTTCTCATTGCAGTGGCTTCTCTTGTTGAGGAGCACAGGCTCTGGGGTGTGTGGGTTTCCGTAGTTGTGGCGCGTGGCTCTAGAACCCGGGCTCAATAATTGTGACATACAGGCTTAGTTGCTCCATGGCATATGGGGTCTTCCCAGGTCAGGGATCGAACCCGTGTCTTCTGCGTTGACAGGCGGATTCTTTACCACTGAGCCATCAGGAAAGCCCCCCTATTTTCTTCTGTTCATTTTTCTTTCTTCTCTTCACCTGCTTCTGCTCTGCTGTCCCAGTCTATTTCCTCCCACCTCACACTTGTGCTTCTTATTTCCTGTCTTTCCTTTCTTGGCTTCATCGTGCCTCCTCCTTGGGATTGGTTGTCCCTGTTGACTTAGTGGGCTGACTCCCCTTCTCACCATTCAGAGCTGCCTTTCTTTTGCTCCAACACCATCTTGTGTTGGTTTCCCTCTTTATTTTTAAATTTTTATTCACTTATTATTGGAGTGTAATTGCTTTACAATGTTTTCCTAGTTTCTGCTATACAAAAACGTGAATCAGCTATATGTGTATAGATGTCCCCTCCCTGTTCAGCCTCCCTCCCACCCTCCCCCTGATTTCCCTCTTTAGATCTGAGTCCACCGGGCTGGTATTTCACTGGTAAGGAAAGGCAGCCTGTAAAGACCCGTGTATGCTTAGGTTGGTTGTCCATCTGCCCTAACTGCTCAGTGTCAAGTATTTTGAAAATCATTCCTGCCACGAGATCATCTTCTTCATCTTCCAGACATCTCAAAATTTAGAAAAGTGATCCAGACACCTATCTTTCTCTTAGGAACTCCATTAGTCCATGTCTGTGGGCTCAGCCTCAGGAGTTTAAATGAGGCTCTTGCTATTTTTAATAGCATTGTGAGGCAGTGTCTAGAATTTAGAAATTAAGTCCATTCAAAATTAGGATGGGTGTGTGTGCTGGGTGGTGCCTTTCTTCCCACATAGTAATATGTTTTGAATCTAAGACATTTGTGGTCAAATGTTTCTCAGAAGCATGTACCAGTGGTTGCTAAAGACTTCCTTGGGCAATGGTGTAGGAAAAAAAATAGATGGGTAGTTTAGAGTCATTCTAAAGTAATTATCAGAGCTATACTAAACCTTGCCACACCACTCACCATTGATGTCAGAGTGACAAGAGTCTTCATAATGTAGGGTCACCAGTCACCAAGTCAGCCCACAACTGAAGTGAGGGGAAAAGGCCCCAGCACACAGCAACTTCAGACATTATGTGACTTTAGAGAACACTGCCTAAGATGTTTTTCAGGGACAAAGACTTGGTTTTATTTGCCTACAGTCTGAGTCTACTCATGCTAATTACTTTTCTTCCCCTTTAAAACATGTTTGTTAAACCTGATTCTCTTTTCTCAATATTGTGGTGAGTATGGAGACTCTGATTTTTATATGATGTATCTTTGAAACTTCTGGGCAAACCATTTAATCATTGTACCTAACACAAAGGCTATAAACTTGATATCGAAATAAAGAGATTTAGTCAAATAATGTATAATAGACATTTTTGGTTGGCCCTGCAGCTTCTGTTGTTTTTTTTCCTAATAGCCCTCATTTCAGTTTGGGGATCCATTTGATTCTAAGAAACCTGATTCTAGGCATGCAGCATGTGACCCAGATCAATATAGTTGACTCCCTGGTCATTGTGATTGCTTCTGGGTGGATGTGTGAGTAATTAGATCCAATTAGTAAAACTTAAGACTTTTACTTGGAATTCCATAACAAAGATTTTCTCTCCTTCCTGCTAAATATGAATGAATAAACATACAGACCAGGGACATGTTCACACTCATCTTAGAAACACTAATGATGTTGAGTAGAAACTAGACAAAAAGAAACTAGGTACTTAGTGACCTTATTGAGTTGCTGAACCAAGCTTAACTTGAAGTCTCTGGACTTTAAAGATATATGAACCGTTAATTTCTTCATTTGTTAAAGTAAAATTGGATTGGGTTTTCTATCACCTGCAGCCAAAAGCTTTCTAGTTTTTGCACAGGACAATTGGACAGTGGTCACAAGGCAGAAAGAACCAAGGGACCAAAGAGTGGGTACTAGTGTATGCTTCATGTTAACTAGCTGTCAGACCTTCAACCAGTCTTTCAACCAGACCTCCATCTCTGGGCCTCAGTTTTGTCTCTGAAATACATAGAGGAAGTAGAAAGTTGGGTTTTGTGTTTTCTTTAAGACCTGTTCCAGCTTTAAGATTCTCTGGGTTCGACCCTTTACTTGATTCATTGTCAACTGGCTCCTACAACTGGTTTGCTACTTCTGTCAATGGTCTCATCATACTCCCAGATCTCTGGGTAGAAACCTTGCTATCAATCCTGTATCCCATTCACCTCTCTTCTTTATCTATATCTGCTCAATTATCATGGCTTCTCAGTTCTTTTTTCTAAGCATCCCTTCTGCCTTAATCTGCTCCCTACAGCTCTCTAAAGTGCCCACTCCCTTGAATCCATTGTCCTACTCTTGCTGGATTAATATCTTCAAGTAGACTTTTAGAACTTTACTGAATACACCATTAATAGAAAAAATGAAGCCTACATTGTAATTTCCCAGGCAGTGCTAGTGGTAAACAACCCACCTGCCAATGCAGGAGACATGAGTCATGGGTTTGATCCCTGGGTCAGGAAGATCCCCTGGAGGAGGAAATGGCAACCCACTCCAATATTCTTGCCTGGAGAATTCCATGGACAGACGGGCCTGGCGGGCTACAAGTCCATGGGGCCACGAAGAATTGGACACGACTGAGCAACTGAATATAAAGTCTACATCACTCAGCATGGCATTCTGTGTGGTCTTTTCACTGCAGCCATTCTAGTTCCTTAACATAGATTACCTACAGGTCCAACTGAAACAGAAGAATAGAAAGTCATTTTTGAGGATGAAAACTTTATGCATGAATTGTATTGATATTCCCTTCCAAGGACTTTTTCAAGAAGGGTTAAAATCAGAGCATGAATCTGTGGCTGGACCCAAGTTATGGGGCATCTATACTGGTGAATAAAAAACCTATGAGCCTTAGAGATAACAACTCAGGGCCTTTATAGACTCATGCAGAACAGTGTTTCCTGGGAAAATATGAATTGCTTTCAGATATTAAAATTATTTATTAAAGCAATACATATCTTGCATGCAGTTCACTCTGAAATGGTGACCATTTTAAACACGTGTGACTTTAGCATAACCCAAACAGGTATTGGTTAATATCTACCAGATCTACTCCTTAAAACATAATATACAAAGAACATATATTAATACAAAGTTTTATACTTCATTGGGATACTCTGTAGAGGAAGCCATGGGAAAAGAGACTGTAGACTTATTGTAACCTTGGAATTAGTTGTCGATTGAGAGGAGAGAGTGGCTCTTTGCCTTTTTTTTTTTTTTCTCAAATAACAGAAACCGTGGCCCACGAAGGCCTGGGAATGTGCTGAGGCGGCCTTGTTTTTCTCCTGTTTCCCGTGACAGGGCACTCCTCCTGATGAGTTCTTGCCAAGCCCTTATACATGTTGAGTCAAAACATTTTGAATATGAGCTCATTGCATGTGAGAAGAGTTTAAACAACAGTTCAACATGTAAATGTATTATGGGCTTTCTCAGTCCATGTTTTAGTTCAAATTTCCTGCAGCTTGGAAAACTGCATGTAGTTTATGCAACATCTCAGCATTCCCCCTCTGGACTGAAGTGAGGCAGTTGGCTTTCTGTTATAGACTAAACAAATGAATAAAGATTCATTTGAAGGAGTCATGTTGATAGTGTATATACAGCTCCAGGCATTGTCTATTTAACTGACTGACTTTGGGTGGACTCAGATATACAATATCCCATGGTGCTGATTTGGTGGTCAAAATAAGAAGGAACCATTCCTTAAAACCACCTCATCTGGCCAGTTTTAATTTCAGCTAGAAATCAAGTCAATTTGAACATCTAAAAGAAGTACTAAATATGCTTACAGTCTTATCCTTTATTTTCATGGAGAGAAGGGGGAACTGGAGGTGAATTATGATCCTTCTAGGATGGCTTAGGGTTAAGGGAAAGCAGCTGAGAGTGTATGAAGAAGACAAGAATGGCTTGGGAAGGCTCAGTGGGGAGCTGGGTCCTGAGTGGGTGAAAATGGAACTTAACTGCTTTGTTCATGTTGTAGACTGGATATCAACATCTGCTTGGGATTCTCTCTTATTGTTCTCCCTGAGGGGCGTTTAGCCTAGAACCTAATGACCA